CAGTAGGATTCATCCTCTGGGGACCATAAATGTACAAGATTTCATAGCAATCCATGTCACAGGTTAGATATTTCAGATATTTCAGACTATTGGGTGGACTGACATAGAGCCACACTGTTGTTGATGCCTAAAAGTACAATTTGCACCCCAAACTATAGTAAATCCAACTGTCTTCCCTTTTTTACTCTTCACTTACTATTAGCCGATGTATGTAGATGACCTTATTTGAAGTAAATGGCTCTGTACTCTGTCCTCTGGCAGCAGCAAACTAAACAAAAAAAGCATATGGCTAAAAATACTATTTCATTTAAAACATCTATTTTGTCCAGTGAGACAATGGTAAAAACTGAAATTGATGTCTTTTAACCATTTGAAGGGTTTGTAGTATAAACTGTTAATCACACATTTTTGGAAAAAGCCTCTAAAACAGCTTTTATAGAGTCTTGTGACACTTGAACTCTACAACCTAAACAAATAACTGAATTCAATTGTGTATTTACACTTCTATGTGGTGAGGAAGGAAACAATCCTTATCGACAGCTGATGGAACAACACACAGTAAGTAAAAGACAGGTTTAAACAATTCGCCTTCAACTTTATAGATTTCCACACATTTCAGTCATGCTGCTGTCTGACAGAGATATGTGTCTGAGGTTAAAGGTGCTACTGTTAATAAAGTTGATTAAATACCTTCTTTTGTGGTCTTGTCTCCTTAACAGACAGACGCCATGTGGAGAGGACATACATCTTCCTTTCAGTGACCTGCTAATTCATTACCTATTAATGGAAAAACCAGCAGCTTGTTTTATTTGTTGACCGGGTGAGGTTACTCATCTATCTCCACTGGAAGTATTTACCTATTACCTTATATTTCACCTCCTGCCTCTCCCTGAACTAATAAATGATAGTGTATGGGCTTTCTGTTCCTCTTTTATTGTTTCTTCCTTAAAACTGCACTGGCAAACTTGGTAGAGATACAATCCACGGCTGCATGAAGTGCTGCGTAGGTCTGTAGAGCAGGCAATAATAATGCTCGACTACCAGCATCATGAAAACGTTATCTGATGGGAGGCAAACAATGGCTGACAGGAAGCGAGCCAGTATCCACACAGGTTGAAAGAAAATAAATCAGGTTACACTGACGTCAGACGGCTCTAAGGACAGTGTTGCTGCTTGTTTTTCTGCAATAAAATCTCGCCGCGTCATGGCACGACAGCACGTATACATCATTTTCTCGTAGCCAAACTGCCAATACAAAGATTTCTGTTTGATTGCCATGGAAACAGTTAAATGTGAAATTAAGTTGTGTCACGAAGTAGAAGCTGGAGGCAGGGTTGCAGCCAAGGACAACTCTGTGTGTGCTTGTATTAATCACATCGTGGGGACGTAAATCTGTTCAGAAAGTCACATCGTGGAGACTCAAACATCTGGGTCCCACAAGGTAAAACCCCTTCATGTTATGACGTTCACTTCCCCTGGAAATGGGACTGCACGTTGCAGCGACACAGACCGCAAAAATTGTGATTGGTGTGTATGCATTGTCTGAGAATGGGAGAATGGCAAAATCCAGGGTTAATATTGCTGCTTGAGAATCTCTCTTGTAACACAAACAAACACAACCTGCTCTTCTCTGTCCCCTCGTATTCCCTCAGCCTTCCGTTTCATGGGTCATGGGTTTTAGTTTCAGTTGTCATTGTTTTGGCGGTGTTATTTGCAGAACAAGGCAGACACACCAGCGCACAAGTATAAATGCTCACAACAGCATGGGTCACGTGCGTAGGTCACTTGCGTAGGCTCAACATTTGTTCACACATCACCAGCCTTATGCTTTAAGGTTTGATCAAGTCTCTGAAGGATGAATGTAAATGCAATGTCCTCCTAAGTAACAAAAAAAACGCATGCTACTCAATTTCAAAACTCGACCGGTGATTATCTTTTGAATTCTTCGTGTTTTGCTATGTTTTCTATCATGTTTGCGCTCTCTCTCTCTCTCTCTCTCTCTCTGTATTCTTTCCCACGTTAAGTTTCAGCCACCTGACTTTAACAATTGTAGCTCAGTTCTGTTTCTCAGAGGTTCAACCCTACTGCTGCTAGATCTGTGGTGTAAAAATAAAACACGAGAGGTGACATCATGTAATGTGGATGAGAGAAAACTCACACACACATTTAAAACACAACCGGAGGGGAGGGGGGGGGACGAGAAAGAGAGGAAAACAGCCGGGACTAACGTGAACAGACATACTAAAATAGTGTGTATTGCTTGTACCCACTGTCTGTGTGTCTCTGTGTGTGTGTGTGTTGGCATTAGCTTATCGCTGAAGAATGTGGTGGAAAACTGAGAAACAGGAAGTCTCCATCAGAACGGTGAAGTTGGCACAGTCTAGCCAGCCACACACACACACACACACACACACTCTGACTCTGTAATGTACTGGCTATTCCAAACTTGCCATTAACATGTCATTAATACAGATTCATGTACCATAAACCCTGGCTGAACTTGTGTTACTTTCAGTGTGTGCTGCAGGTGTTGACCTCTGCTTTCAGGCAGACTTTGAAGACTCCCTTGACTCTTTAATCATTGCTATGGCAGCCAGTTAATGGGACTTCCTGTGGCTTTAAAAACAGATAAGCTTTTGAACTGTTCATCTTGATCCTGAGCTACAATCCACATCTGGGCTCTGTTGATGCTTCATCTTATCACCTATTGTAATTGCAATGTAGATTTTAAATTAGGAATAAATTAGCTTTATTGGTCTTTACTTGATGATAAAGGGTTACTCGTTTAAATGGCAAGGCAAGTCAAAAGCGATGAACGTAACGATGTCGTGACGGTTTGGTTTGTTTTATTCTCACAAATTGCGAGCTAAATAAAAAATGGGCCTTAAAAAAAAAGTATTATTTTCGTTATCTCTGAGTGCGTCACCTTTCACTTTACACATAGTCATTTGATCCATTGTTAATATAAATCAGATAAGATCAGCTTCATAGGTCACTGTATTTCACAATCATAGCCCAACAGCAGCAGCCTTACGCTGGGAGCTTTCCCACCCCTGATTCCAGTCATATTATCCCAAAAATAAACACACACATCAGTATTTGAAACTGAGAAGCAAGTGCAGATAAACATTGTACTCCGCATCAGCCTACAAAGAAAGATAATTGTTTTATTTGGCTCTGGTGAGCCACATTCCAGACAGTGGAATAAAGTACTGAGTCGTGTAGAGCGAGGTCGAACAAACGCAGCATGTTCCGCTACAACAGGACAGACCTGATGGTTTTAGCAGAAGCTGCTGGTTAGCTGTGCTTCAACCTACCTCGCTTTGACTGTTCTGTTTCTCTCTACGCACTCCTTCTGTTTCCGCACTCATCTTCTGTTCCCTCCTTTCCCTCCCTCAGCTCTCCATTCAGTAACTGAGATGTCTTTCAGAACCGAGCAGCTGACAAAACTAGAAACCTTCAGCAGCAGCAACGTATGACCAATTTCCATTTCCATGAATATCTATGACATTTTCTGTGTGTGTGTGTGAAAGTGTGTGAACGCCCCCCACATTGGCACCAGTCCTGTAACAGTAAGAGTTTATGTTAAAATGATGCGGGACATTTAAGACCGCTGTGCTGCCTTAAGGGGTTGTTTGCTTCCAATCTCCCTCCGTGAATCTGTAACCAACAAAATCCCTGCAAATCTCAATTTCTATCCAGTTTTCCAGATTCTTACGCTAACAATGACCACACCAAAGCCTTACTTGAACTGAACCATTTCTAAATTAATGCCAAACATAACAGTTCCTGTATAAAAATTATATATGTATATACGTATAAATTTCCCCTTCAGGGGACCAAACGTTAGATCATTTACAATCAGTTTAACTATTAAACCACATGGCTGAATGAAGCCACAGATGGGGGCCAAATTAAAGGAAAAACCAACTCAGTCAAGTGAGTTAGTAAGACGGTGGTCCACCACAAATCTCCAGAACAACTTCAGTATTGCTCGGCATAGATTTTACAAGTTTCTTGAACTCTACAGAAGGGATGAAACACCATTCTCACAAAATATATTCACTCATTCTGTGTTTTAATGGTGGTGTCGTGTATTGATGAGAGCTGCTTCCAAAATCTCCCATAGGTGTCGGTTGGGTTGAGATCTGGTGATTGTGAAGATCAAGTTTTACTCATCTGTTACTATTTCTAAGTTTAAAGAAACAGTTTGAAAATGAGTTGTTCTTGGCAAGAGCCAAACCAGTCTGGTGCCTGCGTTAAATATGAATCTACAGCCAGGAGACTACCTCATAGTGACAACAAAACTCCAGGAAGTCACTGCTCCCGGCCAAGAAATAGTCCGACACATAAACCACTTCTTTTTTTTTTTGTACAGATTTAATAAATGAGATGTAACATATTCATTAGTGAAATTTAAGAGGCGCTATTACGTGGATTTGTTCCCCTGCTTCCAGTCTTTATGCTAATCTAACCATCAGCAGTATCCATCCTCTTAACTAACTTAAAATAATTTGCATCCCATTACTTTAAATCAAAACATATTTGTAGCTTTAACCATGCAGTTGGTTGGGCAGAAGTCTGATTTTGTTTTCTACTGTTTTAGTACGCAGAACAGTTAATACAGGTTGTGTTTGGTGAAAAGGTACACCTGCACTTAGGCTTATATGTGAATGTTTTTTGAGATAAATGTGAATTTCTGTTGAGGGGGAAATAATCTCAGATTTAATAGATTTTTCTCTGGTGTAGTGTTGAAGTTGATTAACAGGTGTCTCCTCAGTCATACATCTTGCAAGTGTACTAAAAAAATAGAAAACAATTCTTGAAAATTGACGTCTCTTTCAAACTTATGCCTGTCCCATAATTACCTTCCTTACGACTGCTTGTTTTATATAATCATTAAATACTTAAGGAAATGGTTCTATCTTTTCAATTATTCATTCTTAAAAATGTTCTTACTTCCGTATTTGAAACTGCTTTAGACAATGTCGAGGTCTCCGGTAACACCTGAGCAAACCCGCTGATGAAGACTATATAGATAAAATTGAAAGCTTTGGAAAAAGTTGAAGTGGACCATATTTAGTTGAATATTGTTTTTTTATTTACAAGGTAAAAGATTGAACCTTTCGACTCCATTTTCTGCTGTGTTTATTTCCTCCTAAAATTTACAACTTGGAACGCGAGGTGTCAGGATTTGAGTGGCAGGTGCTCAATTTGGCAATCCAGCTCAGCCTCTCAAGAAGTAAGTGTTAAAAGCACATGGCCACAAAACTTCACCACCGACACGGTATCTAGAGCTAGTGGTTGGTTTGTCCGTGTGGCTGGGCTTACTGTAGGACCATGCGGAGACCTGTGGAAGAGGCGGTCGTTGAGTCCTTGCTTGATTTTAGAAATGGTGTAAAATTGATACTCTGTGTATGTGTGGTACGCAGGAAAATGTAAATGTATGTTGGTAAGAACAGAACAATAGCCCAAATGCTCTGGACAAGGGACAGACCCTGGAATTTGGTAAACACAAAAAAAAAAAAAAGAAGCCTGTTAAGGTATATATGATTTGCTAAATAATATAATTATTTAAGAAAAATACTGACAGATTTATATAAAAAACAGGAAAATAATTCTGCTCAAAAGTCCACCCAAATCCAGCTTGTTTTTAACAACAAACTTCTTGCAAATTAATGAGCACTATTTGGGTTCATTGTACAGTTTTGAATTAGTTAATATGAAATAGTTCATAAGGGAATATCATCACTTCATCAGGGGTCGTCGCGTTTAGAAAAGGCGTCAAACCCAAAGGGAGAGAGACGGGTTGTGGGGGAACACTGGTCTTAAGGGTAGAAAAGGCCAGCAATACTCCTGATATTGGCGTCTGATTAGCTAGCACTAATAAAAAAAATACCGGTGAGTGAAGTATTATATTCCCGTTAGTCTGCCAATAGATCCTGCGCCTAATTGGTAAAAACACTGGACCTGTTAACAACTAATAAGTACGTACTTGTTAAACCAGCCTGCGTCACACTCTCTCTCTCCAACAGCCGTTTACTTATTTTTAACATTTTATTTGTGAAGGCAAACTCATTTCGCGCTTCTTACAGAAACGTGACGGTCCTTTTACTATGAAGGCAAGGCATCACCATTTCCTGTCTGAGCCTTTGCGTGGTGTGGAGTTGACGCAGGCCGCAGATGGCACTACTTAAAACGTGCGAGGGTCTCGTTACAAGCGACGTTGCTCTGCCCCACAACAGGGACCACATTCCCCCGCCGCCAGTCATCACCCTGAACCCGGTAAGCTGTGGCTGCTGAGCACCGCTGGTTTGTTCAGCCCGGGTTGTTTTTTCTGGAGACACCTCGTCCCCGGTGTCTTCAGCTGTAAGCACCTGCAGTGGCTGAGCCTGCTACGAACCATCGAAACACCTCTCTTTGTTATGAAAAGAACGCGGAGGGGGGGGATTAAGTTTTTATTGTGAAACTTGATTACTGCAGGACTGTTTTGTCAGTCTTGCCACCTTGCGAGCATGGAAGAGAAGGCCTGATGAAGACGGAAGCAGCACTTGCATCCTTTATTAACACTGGTAAGTAAACATGATAAGGTAATTGATTTGTATTTAATTTAATGGCTGATCAATACCAAATGTCCCCACTAACAAAGCAATCTTAGAGGAGCAGCAGTGTAACTGATCGTTTCTCTATCCACACATCTTTGATTTCATAAACCATCTCACTGTGCAGGCATATGTTTTGATCTTCGGGAGAGGAAACAAGTGTTAAAGTTGTCCTGGGGCGTGTCTGCGTCTGTCTCCGGTATCAACGAGAGTGTGTGTGGTCGTGTGTGTGTGGTGGTCGTGGTGTGTGTGTCGTGAGAGAGTGAGAGAGCTACAGTTACATGGCTGGACTTGTGGAACCTGGGCTGCTTTCTGAAACGTCTGTTCCAGTTAGGAAGTTCTCCCATTTTCTTTCTCTGTGATGGAAGCCGCTGAGGCAAAAATAATGGCATCACAGAGGTCAATTAAAATTCCTGTACTGCTCATTTTTCATTGTCCCGTGCTGCTGTGTGTTGGTGTGTGTGTGTGTGTGTGGGTCCGTGTGTGTGTGGGGTGTGTGTGTGTGTTGTTCATACGTGCAAGTCATTTATATCGGCGTTCCGAGTTTCTGGCTCTGTCAGGCAATCGTCTATTCTGCAAGTCCGGGTTTTGAAGTAACATTCAAGATCCATTATGTGTTACTAACTTCTTTCTCCCTCTCACTCACACACCCACACACACAACACACACCACACACACACACAACACCACACACACACACACTATTGTTTAGGGTGAAATCTGCCACATAGGACAGATTTTGGGATCGCCTTTAGATGAATGATATTTGTAGGAAATAGGTCATTAGTTAGAAAATTACCAAAAAACAAGAAGTGAAGGAGACGTTTTTAAGTAAGATAAAAGAAGAAACATCACGTTGGGGGCGTTGTGAAACGATGCCTTCGTCGATGTTGCAACTGGAATGCACCATTTTTGGACACCGCAGGGCTAGAAAATGTGCTGATTTCTAAACCTTCGATCGTGACGCCCTGGTAGGCTTGTTACAGCGATTCTAGACAGCACGTGCAGCCAGCACAGTAGTCGCAGTGGAGAAAACAAGCCCCATATGTGTGACTGACCTTCGTGGGCTGCCTGAGACACACACACGACCGACGACACACCACACGAACACACACACACAGGCACAGCACACACACGCACCAGCCCACACAGCAGGCACACCACGCAGCCGAGCCACGCAGTGAGGGAGTGTGTGTAAGCCCGATGTTGAAGCCGGTGCCTGCAGTGTTGTAAGAAGAAATACCAAATGAGCTTCAGTTCCAGTAAGCAACTACATTCACAGGCTCATAAAGACCTTTATGCGATTTGTCTGACTTCACGGTATAGGTAGACTCCTTGCTGTGTTTCGCCTGTTGTGATTTTAATAGGATACATATGTGACCGGATACAGGCGTCTATCGATCCCGCAACTTCGCACATCTCAGCTGGCTTTTAAACGGGGGAGGATTTTGAGGGTGTTGTTAGCGCCTCGTAGACATTAAAAGGTTGAAGGTCTAGGTTTGATGTGAGAAACGTCCGGGCGAGGCGGGTGTTGTTATCTTTGAGCGCTGGCAGCCATTACTGCCTGTTGGAGATGTGTTTGGATTTGCTGTTCATTAATCAGCGGTTTGTGGAAATTGACAAAAGAAAGAAAACCCTTTGTGTTGCTTCATATTATTGGTGAAAGGAAGCCAGCTTAAAAAGCCGACTCTCGGTGCATCTAAGGGATGAAAAGGG